CTAGGTCTAAGTCTCCACTCCATTTGAAAAACTTTTTTGGTCTGGGTTGCAGTACTTTTATTTTTTAATCATTGTATTTTTTATGGAGAAGAGCTGACAATGACCTTTGCCGGAAGCTGTGGAAACCCATATTTTGAGCGTTATCCGAGCAATGCTGAAAACCAATGTGATCACGTAAAACCAATGCAAGCGTACATGTATGTGCACCTACACCGTACAGCATACGTGGCATCTTCGTGTCATCCAAACCTGTACGAATTTTTTCCTAAATATTACGGTGTAGATGAAGATGCAGGGAATTAAATGTTCAACGGCCGTCAGAAGTGGTAACTTTGCGAACTCTGCAGGCTTTCATGCAAACACGAAACAACTGACATCGTGCAAGTTGTGTGGTGGAAGCAAAACAAAAGCATGCACGGTCAACTGGGGTGTTAAAATCAACGCTTTTTGGTGTTATCAGATGACCACACCATAGGGTGTTACTTAACACCGCTGGTGTTACTTTGCACACCTATAAGTGTAGCAATGCAGTGGTGGGCTTTGAAAGTAACACCAAATAACACCAAACTTTTAACACCAGTAAAATGTGTTGGTGTAGTCCTCTGATAACACCGGGGGTGTTGAATTTAACAACCCAGTGTTTGCAGTGTTCCTACTGCTAGTAATAGCAAGAACGACATAAAATAGCCAGGAGCCAGTGACCCCCTAGTCTTGGTTTCAAGACATTAATGCTTGATAGCGGACATAGTGCATAGTGCGCCCCCTAACGACTCATATTAGACTGTCCGCCAGCTCGTAAGTTAGAGTACGTAAAAACTAGTTGTGCGAGGGCGCTCTTCAACAGAAATAAAACAACTTCCGATCACTGACGTCTTGGGCCAAGACTAGTGACCCCCAGGACAAAACGACACATTCCGAACTTCTACAACCCGAAAACATGAAACGATCAAAAACCTCAGAAGAATTTTTCGCGAGTTAGATAACAAAACCAGATTGCTCACCATGCATAGGTATTTTTAAATTTCATGTATTGATGTCGAGGTAGCAGTGAACGTACTTTCAGGGGTTAGCGAAGCCCAATTTTCTGTTGGTTGGGTGGGTGGTTCAAAACAATTTTGAAAATAAAATCGAAATTTAAAAACGTCCAATGTTTTGAATGGCCCCTTATACACATTCAACTTTACAACCTCCCAGTGTAGCTCAAACTGGTTGTAATGAAAACAGGTTTACGTATGACTGTAGACTCGCTACCGTGTCAGGCCGTGCGTCTATAGCTTCAGGGTAGGAAGCGTTTGTTCATCCGTCGTATGGTCGAGAAGATCATAGCCAGTCTCAATATTACTTCAAGTGGCCAGAACTCTCTTGTGGGAGACTAACACACTTGAAAGTAAGTTCATCACTATTACTAATTTTAACTTACAAGGCACTACCGATTTCGACCGCAAGCAAGAGTCGTGTGAATTTACTGTAAAAGACTTACATTCACTCAATCCCTTGCCGCAAAAGCCAAGTTGTGGAACATCACGGCTGATTTTGTGTTGATTTTAAAGCTTAAGATTTATAACAGTTAAATCGCTTGTTTTTAACGCCTTGGCCTAATTTCACGGCGCTGCTAAGCACACGCTTTTACGCTAACAGAGGCTCCGCGCGTACGGAGACTGTAAGCAGTAAGCAAAGCAAACAGCACGCTAACCACGGGGAAGAAATGTGCTTAACTTAGTGACGTAACAACGGAAATATGTACGCGGTGACGTGTGCGCACCCATGGAATTTTTGTGCTAAGCACGGCAACCATGAAGTACAGCAAAAAATTGATTAATGGTAAGCATAAAATTTGGTCCTGATGACGTTATGATAACGTTAGAGTAATTTGCAAAACATGGGAAGGGGGTCGATAGTGTGTAGCTGCAGCGAATTTTATTCTCGGAACATTTTTCATGCAACTTTGTATTCTTCTTCAATGTACGAAAAGTGGCTGAATGCATTCAAAAGTTTACTTTTTAAAAACTTTAAATCCATACTTTCGATGACAACGTAGGACGCTTAGTTTGTGATGTCATCCAGGGTCATCCATTGTGTAGGTTCTGTTCTAATTGTTAACCTGGCATTTACTTACCGAAAACATTTATGAGAAAGAGAATGATGACCGCTTATTGCTAAGCACAAAAACAACAATGAATCAGCAAAGAAGAGAAAATTTACTCCTGCAAAATCTACAACATTCAGGAGGATTTTGTGTGCAAACTAATGTTACATTAGTCTGTAACATGACAATCACAGTTTTCTCATGAATACGGAAATCCTCATTTATTTAAAGCCAAAAATGCAGTTAAGTAGGCCTACCCTTTCAGTGAAATAGTGAAATAAAAGTTGAAAATAAGTTTAAATGAGACACAAAGGTGTATATTGAAGGCTTGCAATAAAACAAATTGATCGTAGCTACCCTTAAAACTTACTAGTACATATTTTTCCATATCCTAATCAGCTTAGGAGACAAGCTGATAATAATTACTGTCCGGAAAAAAGACGAAAGAAACAATGGAAAGATTTATTCGAACAATTCTAAATAGGCCTAGGTAGAGTGGGGGGTTGCTTGGTCACCTAAATATTGAGTAGCTGAGAGTTGAATTCGTTTTGTAAAATGCAAGAGTCAAGATTTTTACCTTGCGATAATATTCTTTCCATTTCACAATTTAAAGCACTTGATATTTGTTTTGATATAACTGACATACAGAGCACCGATATGTTATATTTCGAGTCCGGTGCACAACCTATCATCGCAATGAGCGTGTGCTTGTGGGTGCAGACCACTAATTGAAGTGAGAGTTTCTGACCAGCTTATTTGCATTAAAAGTTCCCCTCCCCACACAGTATCTTTTGAAAAAGGAGATTGTTTGGCCCCCCCCCAATGTTGAGATTTTGTAGATCCTTGCCAGGATCAACTCCCTGGGTCTTCATATGAGCTTTCATATGAGAGAACAGAATGGCTAA